CTCCATGTTACTAGCTGCGCCCATATATCTAAGTAGACATGGAAATGGCCTGTCCTTTTATAGCTGCTGCTTTATTTGCTTCATTTGTGCCCACAACTTTTTTGCAGGAATTCTATCAGGTTAGCGTCTGTGTCAGGCAATGTTATTAAAAGGAGATCTATCGTAGTTTAATCACGTAAAAGGGACATTGGCTTGTAACTTGTAAGCATGCACTGTCATACGCCATCTGTTATCGTGATGGTTCAGTTTACCTCGGAGACATGCCGCCATGCATGCCAACCAAGTGACTGTCAACTCTGCTAAAAGACGAGAGTAACGTACTATGGGCCCGTTCGAAAACACTCCCGCTTCCGAATGTCTCCATCTTTTCAGCAATGGTTCAGAAACTTGGCCGCCCTTTCAGGACCAATATTTAAGGAATCGATTGATCTATAATCATATCTTCTGCAATTTAATGAAAAGAGCTACTATATGCAGACAGACAGTTCATGACTGGTTTGGAACCTGCAAGCTCCATAAAACATAACCTCTGCATCTGGACGATACTTGCAGTCACTTTATTAATTGTTCACACAAGACATTACAAAGTAATACAACAGTAAGACTAAAGCCACCGTTTAGGCAACATCTGTCGCTATTCCCATCCAATTGATGAAGGAATGTTGATAGTCTGGGCCTAATACCAAACAGACCTCGCAGCCAAACCTAACATCTAAGACCTGAGATCCCATCCAGGATGTCTGCCGGGTATGGGGCACCCACCGGTCCGGCACATTCCTCAAACAGGACGCCTGCCGGGTATGAGACTGCCGCAGCCACCCGCCACCAATCCATCTTCAGAGTTGTACCGCTGCATCTATCTTGCACGGTCTAGCTGCCATCGACGCCACCACGACGCCAGACCACGACACCCTCCTGCGCGAGTCCATCTCCGCGCATCGGATGCCGAGTCACCACAGCACCATGGCGCCGAGATCCACCGCCATCAATGAGTGAGATGATGCATCGCTCCATCAAAGAATCCGTCCGCTGGTCCCACGAACCCGACTCTCAGATCATATAGGAAGCTAAATGACGCGGGGGGGGGGGGGATCAATATATGTTTGGATATCACAACAAAACACAAAGAGTGTCTGGCACTCTGGTGTGATATTCATCACGATACTGTGCCACCAAAAGAACAAAAAACTCAAAGAACAAATTATGTACTTTTTCTACCTTTGTCCGAAAATACTTGCCATCAAAATGGACAAAAATGGATGTATCTAGAACTAAAATGCATCTACATACATTTTCTTTTATTCATTTTGATGATAAATATTTCTGGACGAAGAGAGTACAATTTTAATTATGTGTTAATTAACGTGAAAATTTCGTCCTCAACACCCCCAACCCTTGAAAGCAAACCAAAGAATCTTTCAAAGGAAAAGAGGAGACTAAAGAAGCACGCGAAAAGAGTGCTAAACAAAACCAAAGGAGCTAGCACGTCAGCATGCTTTCATTTCATTTTGTCCTGTCCTAATCTCCTTATTACCCCGGGCGACGCTTAAAAACCACGTTCATACGTCCAAATATCCCACATAATAATGAACACAAAACGTGTTCCTACGTGATCCTGCCGGGCCTTGTGTTCTGGCGCGATTCAAAACTGTAAGCACTACACGCAGCGATGTCGTTACGACGTTGGGGTTGCAGGGCATGTTGCCAATGCATATGCATGTGCTAAATCGATTAACAGGTTTTTCGCGGAAGAAAAAGATTAACAGGCTCACATGCATATGTCAACCCTCCTGTCTTATCGTCCCGCGAACTATATATCGATAGAGGGACGTACCTAATCATCAAGACGAGTGATTAGTGTCTTGCGGTAGGTAATTAGTCTGGCCTAACAGCTCCACCTACGTACGCGCGTGCACGAGGTGGTGGCTCAACATTGGCCAAAGTGGAACTGGTCTGCCGTGACGTCCATCACGACAACAATCAGCATGGATCTTAGTATAATTATTAAGCTTGATCGATGGAGTATTGCAGAATAGTGCATCACGATCAACGTGCGTACACAAGTTGCATGCGGCTGGCTGTGGCTGGTACAGTGGGATAGAAGCAGGCCGGGGAGGACACGGGAAAGGTGGGTGCAACCGGCGCGAACGAACCCAGCGGCGGAAAGCCGGGGAAGCGGGCTCGTGAGCAGAACGATCGATCGGGAGCTATGTAGCCACTGGCCCGGACAACGCATGGGTAGGCATGGACCGACCCGACGTGCGTGACTACGCGCGCGGACGAGAGCTAGCTTTTGCCCCCGTCACGGGAAGGCCGGACGGCATAGAGCTGCGTGTGCGGTGAGCCTCTGCTGCTTTTTGGACACTTTGAGTGCCAATTGTGAAGTCAGGTTCGATGACAGCCACTGGAGAAAGAATTGCCGACACTCGTAACTTTTAGATTTTGGTCGCCATGTGTGGTTGCTTGAACCGCATCATCCTGTAGCAATTCCTACAAACCTCGTTGTTGAATAAAGATTAACGATTTTTCTCAAAAAGAAAACAGAACTCATGATATGAAAATTCAGTTATACATGTTGCAGCAGATTTTGTATAAGGGTATCAATATTTTTTTTGTTAATGATGATTTTTTGACTGAAATTATGAAATATATTTTTTACAACGTGTAACAAATTCTTATATGAGACAACATTTTCGCATACAAACTAACGGTCAAAAGTACCATCAAAAAGACATACTTGCATTTTGGGTCGGAGCAAGTATTTGGCTTACTAACTTGCTACACTTCCTTAGCCAGACTTGTGACCAATTTCTTGTAAACTCATCTTTTTTCATCGGTTTTCATTTCTTAAGGTAGTTTTGTAGCACGCTCCCCCAAAATGAGCCAACTTCGCATACAGCTTTTTCACTGAAGTCTAGCTTGTGATGTTACGACTATGAACTCAAATAGTAGATGGACTTATTCAAGCTTAAATTGTAATAGCTGAATGTTCCTTTTTCTTTTCCTGTTTAAAGAATTCTTGGAAGACAGCAATTGTGGTAGCCCTATTAATGCTGGACGCAAAACCTAAACCAAGACAACATAAACCGAAACGTGTTAATGTTGTCCGCAATACAAATCCTTGGCAGTTAAGTTTGGCTCCGAGGAAAAAGGTGCTGCTATGATAGCTTGGGATGTTGTCTGCCAGCAAAAGACACATGGAGGATTAGGGGTGACTGATATCTTGTGCATAATCAGGCTCTTCTGCTAAAAACCTCCACAAATTTTTCAACAAGTATAACTTGCCTTGGGTAAAACTCCTCTGGGAGACATATTACACCTCCTCTCCTCCTCAAGGCAGAACGGAAGGCTCATCATGGTGGAAAGCTCATCCCCTTATACAAAATCTGCTGCAACATGCACTGCTGGAACTGGAGACACTATTCACTTCTGGACAGATAAATGGCAAAGATACTCCACTGATTCAGCAATACCCTGAACTTCATTCATTTGCAAAAACTGAAATTTCTTCTTTGGCCAAGTTCAGAGAGACCTCTGAGCTGCTAGAGAACTTCCACACTCCTCTGTCTGGCCCAGCTTATCACCAGTTCAATGATCTACTGCCAAAACTGAACTTTCCCCCAATAACTCTGAAGACAAATGGTCTTACATTTGGAAGCCCGGTCAATTTTCAGTTAAACGGATGTACAAGCACCTCATGGGGCCAACGAAAGCAAATGCATTGTTTCAAGGATTGTGGAAAGCTGCTAGCAGAATCAGGCACACGATATTCTTTCGGTTACTCCTCTATGACAGAGTCAGTACAAGAAGCTTACTCAAAAGAAAGAATTTCTTCCTGCAATCTTACAACTGTGCAATTTGCAATGAGCAGATGGAGGAAACCATACTCCCATCTTTTTTGGGACTGTCCTTTTGCCCAATCTTGCTGGGAATTCATTGCTCCAAATAGATCAAGAGGGATCTCAGTCTTTAATGAAATAACTCTGTTACTGCAAGCATTCCCCATGCAAATTGCTATGGATGTTGTCATTATGAGCTGCTGGAACATTTGGATGCAAAGAAATGGGAAGATTTTCCAAAATGAAGCACCAACAAAGGAGGCTGGGAATTTCAAGTTCAAACAGGACCTTTTAGGTCAAGCACAGAACCAAGACAAAGAACATTGCCATTCTTGAGCAATGGATTGATTCGGGCCTCTAAGTCTTTCTTGCTTAAGTGATTCATTACTTTCCCATGTTGGAGAAAACTGGAATAGGATAGTTTAGCAGGGAGCTCTTCCCTTGTAATTTGTACATATTTATTTAATTAATACAAAATTACCGTAGAACAATTGTTGTACGGCTTCAGGGTAAAAAAAAACTAAGACCCTTCTAGAGGAATGTCACCTATAAATCTGTACTGTGAGTGACAAGCCATATAGTTTAACTGAATAATAGCATTTGTCATGTCCAGAAAAAGGAAAGCACATATGCACCTGGAATAGATCCATCGGTCGTAAGTCACAAAGTGATAATGTCAACATGCCCACAATAACTAGTGTTTCAGTGAGTGGAAAAAGCGACTCATCAATGTCAAAAACAAAACCATATAAAGAACAGGGGAGCTGAAAACTTTGCTGGACCAGAGTCAACTGTAAAAGGCTCGGAACAGGTTAAAAAAATTGTTGTGAAAATGCCTGAAATTCAGCTTTGACACATAAACCGGTCTTCTACATGAATGCTACTCCTTCCGTCCCATAATATAAGACATTATTACATCCAATATACTCGCATATGGGATGTAATAACGTCTTATATTATGGGACAGAGGGAGTATCATACATTCATTCCACAAATTAAGAAATCAAAGTTTAACCTATAATATTTTACCCTTAGCCAATGTAGGTGATATAAATGAGATATATACATATACTATACATACTGCACTAGTGAGAATGTTAAGGACAATGTACATTTGCATACACCCTGAAATTTTAACAACTTATTTGTTAATCTTGGACATCAGGAGGCTCTATCCAGTCGCTCAACCTCTAGTGCTATTTCATTACGCCTTGCAAAAGGAAGTGTGAAAGGGGGATTATACTGCAAATTCAACGAAACCAGTTTGTTAATCTATACATCAAAGTACGAACCAATCCTTGTTATCTAGGACACTGAAACAAGTTTTACCTGTGCAATTTCCACCACTGAATCCTCTTTCAGTTGATACTGGGTATCTTTCTGGAGAGATTTCCGCAACCTGGATTCCCTCTGGCTTATGTCATCATCTGTAACCAAACCTGTTTCAACATACAGAATTTTTTAAAAATCACTGTTAGTGTGGTGCATAAAGATTGCAATATAGATAGGGCTCATAACTAGGCATACACATACAAAAATACAAAAGGAATGAAGATAGGTCATTGCTACAACTTGCCTTGAAAACATGATGATTTCCTAAACATTTGAGAGTTTGAATATCTTACATCAATTAGTAGAATGAGATAAAAAAAATTAGGTTCATAATACCGCTGGAAACTTTTGATATTTCTCTATCAAGAACATAAGTTGAAAGATGGAGTATTGATATAGAATTTGTGTGTACCTTTATTCAATGCTCTGCTAAGATGGAAGGGTAAAGTAGGTGGTCCTCTTTTCGAACAGACAACTTCACACGGTTTGGAGGTTTCATTTGTGATATTATGGAAGTAGACCCAAATTAGGTGTATTATGTTGGTGCTAGTACTTGGTACATGTTCAGAGTTCAGGATTCAGGAAGCAGCTACAATTCAGATCTTTCTTAGTTATTTTCGATGGCTTACATAGTACAGCTAGTGCTAATGCAGGCACTCAGGGAATATCCCCTCTGCTTTTTCTACTCATTTTTTCAGCAAAGAAAATGAGGACAGGACGTGAACTTTAATGGACTAACGTCACACATGAAAGGTTGTGCCAATAACCACCAATTTGCTTCAACATTTAAATAGATAGTTGCTCGATAAAAGTCAAAGCAATTGAATGCATCTTTTCATATTTGAAACAAAAATGCAAGTTGGAATGAAGTAAAGAGGTTAACAGATGGACCTGGAAAGGCCGCAACCGCTACAATTTTGCTGGGCACCTCCTTGATAGTCACAGATGGGTCTTTTGCCTGAGGCAAGTCTGGGCCATATTTTGATGGCATCACAAAAGACATCTTCCACTTATTTTCATCAGCTGACTGCAGGTGACAACATATGTTAAAATTCAATTCGGCAGTTTATAATAATATTTTTGTTGAACAATCAGTTTCTAATAACGTGCTAACTCGTAAGCACATCGAATGCTCATCGAGCAAATAGAGACAAGTCAGAACTCAGAAGAATGGGCTCATGAGAAAGTCATATAGAGCATGCCTTCTTTGTTATAACTGGGGTGGTCATGTCCATCGTTTCACCGCGAACTTCCTCCTTCCGAGTAAAAACAGGGGTTGTCATTTCCATTTGTTCGGACCTTGTGTTCTGAAAGGAAGCATACCATCATAAATTTCCCTTCAGTTGAAGCATTTAATCAAGTGAATTCCTTTCACAGCACAACACAGCAAAGGAAGGAAACATATGAATTACCTTACCGAATAAGTAAGACGCCAGCACGTTGAACGACTGAGACGATCCGTTGAAATCAAACCCGGTTCTTCCAGGCATCGTCGTCTCAGCGACATAGTACGACTGACGAGAATTGACAACAGAAGAGGGCGTCACTCATTAAGTATGAAGACTGACCACGCTTCCTCGACGCATGTTCCTAGCTACTGTACTATAGAAGAGCACTTTGGTGGATAACAACAAAGCATCACCTCCACTTGTCTGATCTCGTACTCCTCCTCACGCTTCAGGACGCGGAACGGGACGGTCTCGAGGTCAGGAACTGCGAAAGCACGGGGGAATTTCAGTAAGCAAGTCCCAGAACCCTAGAGTTTTTTGGGCAAAATGGAGCGTTTCCTCGGGTAGGGAATTTCGGCGAGCACTGACCGGACATGAGGGCCTCCTCGAGGGTCCGTGGCTCGAAGCGGCCGGAAGGGAGAGCGTATTTGGCGGCCTCGGTGACGAGGTCGACGGCGCGGCGCTGCGAGGCGGCGAGGGCCTGCGAGACGAGCGCCAGCACCAGCGACCCGCGGGCCTCGGCGCCGCTGCTGGTGCGGGTTCCGGCGGCCACGACCGTCAGCGCGGGCCGCCGGCCGCGGGGCCGCTCGCCTCGGGCTCGGACGGCGCGCGGCGGCGGCCGCACGGCGGGCAAGCAGGGGAACGCCATTTGATCAGTCTCGGGCGGCGCTGCGTGGTGGTAATGAGCCGGAGCTCTGGCGCCGGAGGGGGAGCGCGGGGCCGTGGCATGCGCCTCGCCACGTGGCGAGGCGAGCCAAGGGATAAAAATGTTTTCTTAAAACAAGCCCATGAACTTTTTTTTCGATGAGAGGGGCCACATGACCCCCATTTTCATTAAGAAAATGGAGTCTTTTACAAGCAAGGTGCAGTACACTTTTTACATCCCTGGCACTAAACCACATCAGGATGCTACGCACACAAGTAACCCAACCAGCACTAGCATATTTGTCTAGATAATATTGAGCCAGATCGGCGGAACAAAAGCTACAGAAAAATAAAGATAGGTGACGATAGAACAAAACCTAGCTATAACCAGCATCAAGCATCAGAAATATCCACTCTTTTGGGTAATAGCCAGAAGTGATCCAAGCCTTTCAAATCAGCACCTTCAGCAACTGATTTCATCAGATTCTCCTCACATACGGCGCCCACCCATATCCTCTCCTGAAGACATCCCGAGTCACTTGGGCAATCCTTCTAGCGACCAGCTGTAGCGTGTTTTGTAGTCTTTTTTTCTGCAAAATTTTCCACGAATAGAGAAGGGAGCAAACAGACATAATAATATCAGTAGGATCATTGGGCTTTACACCTTAAAAGCATGATTTATTTTTTGTTTTTCAAATAAACCATATCAAAGCAGCAACACCAAACATAACAACTACTCTATCTTTGCCAGTGTAGTTAGTCAACCAATTCTGGCATAAATCAAGGAAAGACACATGGAATCTTTAGCTATCCAAGGAGCACCCCACAATGCTCCATAAGAACCTAGACAGGGAACAAGAAAAGACAGGGAACAAGCCCATGAACTGAGCGGGCCGGGCCGGGCCGGAAGGAGGTTTGCTCGCGAAGCAGACTGCAGGCGGATCAGTAGTATCGGGCCGCGCCGGCTCGGTCGCCTCCAAGACTTTCCTCTACCTTCTGATCGTCCGAGCAGGGGTTAGGGTTCTAGGCGGCTGCGCCGGAGACATGGAGGAGAGGGCGAGGCAGCTGCTCCTCCTCGCCGCCGTCGCGGGCGTCGGCGCCGCATTCGGCGCGCTCTCCACCGCGGCCGTCTTCAGCTTCCTCTCCAGGTAACCGACCGAACCCTCCTCCTCGCGACCCCCACCCCAGACTGGCCCCGCGAGCTGCGGGGGAGCGTCCGCCGAACAGTTGCTTCATTGTTGTTCCTGTTGCTGGGTGGCAGGGCGAAGCGGAGAGAGGGCTACGTGCGCAAGCTGCTGGAATCCAATGGCGGTGCTGGTGGTCCGCACGCTGGTAAACCTCTGGTTAATGGTTTTCTGGTTGAATAATGTATAGTGAACTAGTAATTGTAGAGACTGCTGAGAATCTAAGGCGTCCATTTAGCTCTCCAGTGATGCACCAAGTATATTATTAGGGTATCTCGTAGGAACAGATTAATAATTATGTTGCTGTGTCTGTGTGGTGATTGGGTGCTGAATAGTTACTTGTTTCCGAAATTTCGGCATTTCACTTTGAACTTGTTCTATCGAGTACTTTTGTCTTAAAGAGCGTTTGTTGGGAGCAGGCAGTACTGGACCGGGAGCACGTCTGCATGATAGCTCGGATCTTCTCTCTGATGAAGTTGTTGCTGAGCAGCTTACAAGGTTCAGATTCTTACTTGATATTGCACAGCTGATGAATTCCTCACAATTGTTGCTAGAGTTATAGCTAATAATGAATATAGGGTGTGTCTAGGGCACATCTAGATGTGCTCTTGTTATTGCACATCTAAGTGAGTGAATCAAGCATAAAGAGAAAAAGAAAAAAGAGAGAAAATATTCACACGAATCTTAATGTAAGATCAATGACATATGACTTAGATGTGCAATACTTATGGCACATCTAGATGTGCTTTAGCAAAACTGAATGAATATATAACCCTGAAAGAGCTATTTCTCCTGCTGCCAATATATTCAACCTCGTACCTTTCTAAATTAATGTGAGCAGAGCAGAAAGTGATATGTATTCTCACAGCACATAGTCTGTAACTTACCATTCCTTGTACATTATAGATATATGCTCTATCTGTGATCCACCTTTCCTAATCTTCAGACTACTTTAGTACCCAAACATTTTGAAACACTCATTGTGTTCATGTTTTGATTGTGGTTACCAACACCTGTTTACTTCTTATATTTTAGGAATATACAATTTTTTGGAGTCGAATCTCAGAAGAAAGTTACTGAATCTTTTGTTGTAGTCATTGGTCTTGGAGGAGTTGGCAGTCATGCTGCTTCCATGCTCCTCAGATCTGGAGTTGGCAGGTTGCTCCTAGTAGATTTTGATCAGGTATATGTTTTCAGATGTCAACCTGGGGTCGTTTCTTTGTTAATACATTTATATTCAGAGCTTTTAAAATTTCCATTTGAAGCACAGAGAATCATCATGCCATATAGTAGATGCACATCAGTTTCATATAAAATCATGATACATGATAACTTATTTCTATGAAGCATACCGAGTGCTGATCAGGCTTTTGTAGTAGTATGAAATGGGCATTCTTACATTATGTTTCTGCAAATAATATCCTACATCCAAAATAGATGGACATTAACATGCAACTTATGATATGTTGAAAGGTCTCACTGTCATCACTAAATCGGCATGCTGTGGCAACCAGAGAGGATGTGGGGACCCCAAAAGCATATTGCCTCAAGAAGCATTTCTCATTGATATATCCAGAGTGCCAAATAGAAGCAAGAGTGCAGTTGTATGATTCGTCAGCTGAGGACGAAATTCTTTCTGGACAGCCAGATTTTGTTCTTGATTGCATAGATAACATTGATACTAAGGTAAACAAATATTACTTAAATAATTCTGATACCAAACCTGATGTTGATTTATTTTGTTAGATAGTTGGCTTTAGCCTTCCACACATTTTGCATTTTTCTTCAGTATTCAGGTGTATGTTATATTTTTCATGTTGTTATGCTCTAAATCCTACGCGTGTGTGTTCCTGTATTTAGTTTCATGAGGAAATAACTGAGAGTCCCCCACGCAACACTGCCTTCAGTTTCATGAAGGAATGATCTAGTAGGATAATCACAAATTACTTAACTAATTCTGGAAACAAATTGGTCACAAAGGTGGATGTTCCTGATCTCGCTGCATTCTAATGATTAATCAACTCAAAGTTGCCCTATTTGGTACTTTAAACCCAATTTCTTTAGCAAAATGTTACTTGGCTCAGTTTTCATCTACTTAACTAATTTGATATTATGCTTTGTGCATTATCATGAGATGTTGATACATTGATCTTTAGGTGTCTCTCCTTGCGGCTTGCGTACGCAGAGGGTTAAGGGTACTTTCTGCAATGGGAGCTGGAGCTCGAGCAGACCCGACCCGAATCCGTGTTGCGGATTTGAGAGAATCAAGCAATGATCCCCTTTCTCGGGCGGTAATATTGACAACTAGTTCTAAAGACTAAAATAACTATTCAGACCCTTTTGAAGCTGCTAAGTTATCCACTTTGGATGTGCTTTAATTGTTAATAAGGTGCTCCAATTTTCTTTTCTGTAGGTACGGTATCGGCTGAAGAAGGATCATGGAATTGAAGGGGGAATACCAGTAGTTTTTTCAATGGAAAAGCCCAAGGCAAAGCTACTTCCCTTTCAAGGTTCGAAAGAAGAGGAAACTCCATCTGATTACCAGGTCAGCTCCTTTTATGTGTGCACCAGCCACCAGGATGCTACCTCACTGACCGGTAGTGTTTATTTTCTTAGCACGCATGGCAATGATTTAATTAAATTTCTGTAAATCATCTAGTCGCCTATATATATATTAAAAGTTCAGATAATACTGATAACATGGCATGCATCATGCAGATTGTGCCAGGATTCAGGGTTCGCATTATCCCAGTACTGGGAACTATCCCTGCAATATTTGGTCAAGTTATGGCCTCCTATGTGGTTACTCAACTTGCCCAGTTAGATTTTCAAACTGAACCAATTGTTAACCTGGATTTGGATCATTACCGCGTTCTTCACCATCGTCTTCTTGAGCATGAGGAGCTGATATATGGGTCAGCCGAGCAAGTTTTGGTATTACTCCTCCCTCCTTTTCAGTTTGTGAGGTCTATTTTCTTTCATCTAGTTTCATATTATGATGTGCATTGACATTTATTGATGTTTTTTGCGTGTTTGCCCTTATTTACAACATTTTCTCTGCATATAAGTAGTACCCTGATAATTAGGTATAATCTCTCTTCTCTATGTCCTATGTACTTGAGTAGGGGCAGCACAGTTCTCTTCTCTTTCTGTTGGTTCCATAAGCTTATTAATCCTTGTGCTTACTCAAACTACGCCTTATGGTTTGCAATGGAGGTAGTACATTTCTTGTGAAGTCCTCTCACGTCACTTTTGGCCCAAGAAAAGTTAGAACAAAGTCCCCCAAGTCCTGGACTTAGATTTGGACTGTGCAGACGTCTAACTTTCGCATCCGGACTCCGAATTGGATGAATCTTTTTTTGTTTGAAATCTATCTCGTGTACTAACTAACCCTATCGCAAAAACAGTCCTATGCAGCAGTAGAATCCGAGTCAAATCTAAGTCAAAAGGTGTTGCATGAACTCCACTTGGGCCCATGGGCCTTGTACGACCTACGGTAGGGTTTTTGATGCCTTGGGACATGCTTCCACCCCCTTGACCGCCACCCCTTAGTCCTATATAAATAGATCAACCTCGTAGTGTTTTGTTTTGTTAAAAGTAATCATCGCTGCAACTTAGTGTACTTTGTGTGTATCCAACGACCAGGCCAAGACAGTAATCAAACCCCAACTTTGTTATCTTTTTGAGATAATTGATCTTCATATATACTCGCAAAGTCGCAATACTCAAATTGCTTTTTATTATAGTTCTTGCTTGTTTTTCGATTGCTTGCAGGGTTTAGACCTTCATGGTCAGGCTGACCGTACTTCCAACATCTTCAGTAACCTCTAGGAGATTGATTTAGTGATTGCTAACGCGCAACATCGTTGTATATTTGTAATCGGATCGTCAATGCCGTTCGAGATCTTTCGATGAAAATCAAACTGTCGATTGGTCGGCCACAGCGGATACCGTTCTCCGTTCTGGTGTTCGCACGAGGTGTAGATGGATATGCAATGAGAGAGCCCGTGCGTGGCATATATAAATTGGATCGAAGGATGCTTCGTTTCGCCCCGTGGTTGGCTCAAGAAATTAACTCTGACACGGTCCTTCGCGTTTCGAAAAAGCTACTATCTCAGTTTATGAAGCTTGATGCTTTGTTTCACCGGCCGTGATAATTGACAACAGTCTGCCATGGTACTCCTACTCAGCGTGATATTTATTTGGCAAATTCTTTCGTGACCTTTTGATGAGAATCACACTATGTCGATTTGGATGAAGAACGACTTTGACAATCTGACTAGAAAAGTGAGACGACGTTGATCACGCTGAGTAGGAGTACCATGGCAGACTGCTGTTAATTATCACGGCCGATGAAACGACGCGTCAAGCTTTGTAAACTGAAGTAGTAGCTTTTTGAAAACGTGAAGGACCGTGCTGGAGTTAATTTCTTTTAGCCAGCCACGCGGCAAAATGAACTGTCCATCGATCCCATTGCATATCCATCTACACCTTGTGCGAACACCCGGGCGGAAAATAGTATACGCAGTGGCTGACCAATTGATAGTGTGATTTCATCGAAGGAATCCTAACGCCATTGACGTTCCGACTACAAACGTGTGACGACTTTGCGTGTTAGCAATAACTAAACCAATCTCCTGGAGGTTACTGAAAATGTTGGAAGTAAGGTTAGCCTGACGCTCTGACCACGAAGGTCTAATCCCTGCAAGCAATCAAAGAACAAGAAAGAACTACAATAAAAAGCAATCGAAATATTCTAAGTATATATGAAGATCAATTATCTAAAAAAGATGATAAAGTTGGGGTTCTGATAGCGGTCTTGGCCTGTTCGTTGGACACAAAGAAAGTACACGAAGTTGCAATGACTACTTTTAAGGAAACAAAACACTAGGGAGGTTGATCTACTTGTATGGACTAAGGGGTGCTGGCCAAAGGCAAAGGGTACCCCAGGCCATACAAGGCCCGTGGGCCCAAGTGGAGGTGAAGCAACACCTTTTGACTCCGATCCTGCTGTTGCATCAGACTGTTTCTGCGATACCGTCATGCTTGGAATGAATTTGAATGTGAGTCCAATTGGGTTGGTAAGTAATTCCAACAAAAAAAGATTACCTAATACAGAGTCAGGATGTGAAAGTTATAGACGTATGAAATCAGGTATGTCTGTGCAGTCTGAATCTGAGTTCAGGATGTGGGGGAGGACTTCTTGTACAACACCTAATCATATGCCTTTGCTTTATAATCATTTCTTGATTGGTTGTTTCCATGGTAGCGATGTCCTCGTCACTTGTGAAAATGTGATTGTGACGTCTCATTGAAAAATTTTAAATTATTTTTATCTGTTAAAAGGTTGATGCTGAAGAGGTGATGTACATTGTGAAAGAATTGTGGCGTGGCCGAAGTGCTAGAGACCAAAACATGAAGGACACTGGCCGGAAAATGTGGAGATCTGTCAACGAACTGATGCTTGTTCGGTACGCTTCTCTGTAACTGATAGTGTGGTTTTACTTTTACATGACAATTATCATGGTTTTCGTGGTAGTTATGTATTTATGTATAGTGACATGGTACAGTAAAAACACAATTTGGTATGCTGTAACAGGCAGATTCCACTTGCTAATGACTTAAGTGAACTGTAAGCTGATCCCGCGAACTATTATGCCCAGTCGTGCTCATGACCTTGTAACTGCTAACTTCTAACATTAACTTAGTGTTATTCCAACTTCATTCTGTGTTAAGCTTCCATCTTATGGTCTTCAACATCATTTCGATATCAATGTGCAATAGCAATCTTACTGAATGGGAAATGAACTTATTATATACTTAACTTTCCATTATTAATGTGTTAATAAAACTGCCGTTTTGAAACAAATTCATGTTTTTTTGTTTTGCTTTGGTGCTTTATTTTGTTATAGGTGGGACAAATCAAAGCCTGCTGGTGTCTCAAACTTAATACTTCTCAAGTTCAGTGAGGTAAATCATGTGTACTTGATAACTGACATTTGAATTCAGATGTTAATGCGCAAGCATATGGCAAAGATGGAAAAGGAGTACCGTGTTCTTACGCTTCACCTTTTCTTTCCCTGCAGGCGGATGCACATGAATCCACGACGCTTGATCAGATAAAAGATGAGGAACCTGAATTCTACGCCATGGTTTCACGTGTCCTGAAACGAGCTGAAACGGAGTTTGCTTTATGAGCTGGTCACCAATGTTATTGGATTTCTATGATTGCTATACCGTCATAAACCGTGGAATGCTCATGGACAAGGCAGGTAGGTTTCAGTTTTGCGCGGTCTGATTTTGTGTACTGGTGACGAGGAGCAAGTAGATGATGCACACTTTCCTGAAGTTCTGTTTTGGCCATAGAAATGGGACTTGTTGATTATGTTTCGATTTCTCTGGAAGGATCCTCCTGTAATCATCTCCCCGTTATTTTTTGATGCGTTTGAGATCATCTCATGTAAACCAAAACAGAGATTATATTGAGCATACGATGTCCGACAGGGGATTGCAATCAACACTAAAGCTGCTGGGTTCGCCATGGCGACACAATGTCTTGTTCGGTGCTACTCATTTTCCAAGGCCATATTCCTTTCCATCTTTCTTCTCGATAGAAAAGTCCCTTTCACTCTGCAGCCTTTTCCAAGACCAAGTCAGGTGTGTCTAATTCTAGTCAATGTGGTCCTTTTCACTTTGAGACATATGGAGCCATCACTCCTTTCCAAAAATGCAACATTATAATTGTGCTGACAAGTATAGTACCGTTGATTTGTAGCTAAAAAATTAATTTCAGTTTTCATCACGTGTACAACCATATAACTATCGCCCGTCACCGGTGGCAAAACTACCCTTGGCAGTACGATACTTGAGGAAATGGTTCTAACAAAAGCACTTGAGAGAGCAGAATACTGGGTTTTCACAACTTTGAGCAGAAGCAGAGCAAGAGAACGTAGAGTAAACTCTAAAAATTCAGGAACACAAAAAGGAAAGGACCTTGATAAGTGCTACATGTGTGGCATGAATATATGGCAACTCCGAATCTTTTTTATGGCAAGTTTAGTGATGTGAGGATGGCAACTTTTAGTTGCCAAGCATGACAACTTCTTTTTGAATGGCAAGTTTCAATTTTTTGGGGGGATTTGTTTTTTCTCTTTGGAACGCAAGTTTAGTAGTAAAAAGCGTCAAGGCCGGAGTGCTTCGTGCCATATGTGTGTCACTTATCATTTGGAAAAGGAAATAGGTTTGAAATATCATGCCATGCTGATTTTTGTGAAATCACAATATATAGTCGTAATAGACGTTGTCAGTCGGACTTGACTTGTTTGTCTTCCTCGTCGTTCCTGTGGTAACGTAGTGATGTGCTTAGCATTGAGGGAAACCATTGGCCGGCAGTGGTGGCCGTGACGACGACAACGCTGCTCCCTCCATGGAGGCTTTGTCGAGGTCCCTCCTCCATTAACCCTTGCTTAGGTCTTGTTTGGGCCATGGCGGTATCACACCTCTCCCTAAAAATCACGGGTTGAAAAACAAGTAGTGTCCTTGGATTCATTAGTGTCCAGCAATGTAAATGTTCAAGGGATTTGGATAAATTGGCGTTCCTCTCCACCTCGTGGCCTGCTAGCCATTCGGTCCTTACCCTCAGGCATGTGCTAGAGGGGATAGGGTTCCTGACTACGCCTTCAGTGGCCCATCTTGGAGAGAGTGTGGTTTGTGCCCTGGGCACCAACGAGTTGCACGAGGGAGTTCGCCTTGTGTGATGTCTGTTCATGCTGTCCTCTCCTAGTAGTCAATTGTCAAGTACTCATTCTAGTTCTAGGGTTAATCATTTCGTATGCCAAACTACCAATAGTGCGGTGCCTTTCAATCCAGGACATGAGGGTAGAGGCCCTTTTCGGCGGCGAATATAGATGTCACCCGTGTCCAAAGTTGGCCCGGGAGCGAACATGGGCATAACCGTAATTCAGCTATGCACCCCTCCATGTTCTCGTGAGTCATGATGGGCGCATTGGTGGAAAATGACATTGATGGCTCAAGCTACACTTTTTTTTTCTTCATTTGCTCGTTTTGCCATTTGCTTGTCGCATTGGTTAACAATTGTTTGGGGCTTTATTAATTGAAAATCAAGCTATAAGAAAAATATAGATCAGATACGTGACATTTTTAAGCACATTATATGTTGTTTTGTATTCGGCCAATGTATTATGTTTTGAATGATAGTTAGTGGATGTATGGTTCATCATAAAAATACACACATGCAGAGTTCAAAGAGAGAGAACTCAACAGGTTGAGATCCTATGTACTCCCTCCATTCCAAAATATAGTGCGCCCGCGCTTCCCGAGGTTCAACTTTGACCGTAAATTTAACCAACAAGACCAACTGCGGCGGAAGAAAAAATTATATAATTGAAAACTTCTTTCGAATACGAATTCACTGATATAATTTTTGCTCCCGCCGCAATCGGTCTTGATAGTTAAATTTACGGTCAAAGTTGAAGCACGTAGATAGAGAAAGCACTACATTGTGGAATGGAGGGAGTAGTATTGTGATACTATAATGCCGCTGACATGTGGATTGAGTCCACATGGCAGTGACCATGATGCATAGTGCGCTACGACAGAGAGTCCCAATCCAAACTCAACACATGCATGCCTGGCCCAAAGAACAAACACCAACCTAGCTATGCCAAAGAAAAGAAGTTTCTAAAAAAGGCTATGCTAAAGAAAAAGAAAAAACCAGTTAAAAAAAGATGTGTTCCAAAAAAAAGGCACCGACCTACAACTAGCAAATCCATAAGGTTCTACACCGTATTTGATTAGGCACCTGAACTGGAGCCTGAATCAGACTGAACCGACTGTTTGTCAGGCTAAGAGCATCTCCAGCCATTCAGCCCCCCAGGGCGCCGAAAAAGAGTGGCCTGGGGCAAACCGGCGCTAGGTTGGCCCCTGGGGGCGACCTAGCTCCCAGCCACGCCCCAGGCGCCGCCCCCAGCCGCGACAAATTCAAACATAGATCATTCTTGCTCATAAAATAGACGCCACAAATACGGCGATCACGCGGCCACAAGTTCGGCGTACAAAAAAAAGAAAGGACGCGCGTGCGCATCAGACGGCGAGGGCTGCCTCCGGTATCGGCGGAGTCGGCGTGCGCGGGCTTGGCGGGGTCTCTGCGCTGGACGGCGTCGGCGTGGCTTCTGTGCTGCGGGTGTTCTCGGCAGCCTCATCAGCCGGGCTTGGCGTGGGCGTCGGCATGGGCGTCGTCGTCGATGGAAGCTGGTTCAGGATGAGGCCCCGCTCCGCCAAGTACCACGCTTTGACCGCCTCGTCGGTGCTCTGCAGCATGTCCGCCCAGCCCAGCAGGAAAGCCAGGTCGGTGTTTCTCTTCTTCGCGGCGACGTTGGTTCGGAGTAGGTCGAGCTTGATGGCGCTGCTCGACATCAATGCCGACCACTGCGCCTCAGTCTTCTCTTCACGAAGGACGGCCCGGGCTTGCGCGTCGGCGAGGCAGTGCTCGATGGACTCCTGCACTCGAGCAGTGGCCGCGTCGACGTGTTTCCCCTTCTTGGCACCTTTGTTGCCGTCCGGCCGCCCTTCTGACGTGCCCATAGTCGGCATGTCTGGCTTGTAGGTCTCCTTGGCCTTGTCGAGGGTGCACCGGACTTCCGCCCACTTCTCGCACATGTCTATGCGCTTGTAAACGTGGAGGTACTTGAATTCGGCGTCGTTGTTGCCCTGCCGATACAAGGCGAACATGCGCAGCAACTGCGCAGAGGAACAAACAGTTGGCGGGTGCGCACGGCGAGGAGAGGCGGGAGACCGGCGTGGCATACCTGATCCTCAACGCTGGCGCCGCTCTCCGAGCGAGCCGCCACCTCCTCGACGATCCCATGCCATTTGTTGCACGCCCCCTGGATACGCCCCCAATGGTTTGCCATCGCCTTCGACTCACGCTGCATGTAGACGCCTTTGAAATAGGGTCGACGAGCTTGCGCTCATTGAACTCGGCCTTGATGCGCTCCCAGTACGTCTCGATGCTCTAGTTCGTGCCGGTGGTCGGGTCGAGGCAGACGACTTTCCATGCTTCGGCGAGGCATTCCTCCTCCTTGGACGCCCACTTGATGCGCGGCTCGCCGGACCTGGCCGCCCGCTTCTTCTTCTCGCTCCTCCTCGCTGGAACAGTCGCCGACTCCTCCTCCTCCTCTTCCTCCTCTTCGTCCTCTTCCTCCTGCTCCTCCTGCTCCTCCTCGCCATAGATGTAGCCAAGCTCGCCTTCCATGCCACTGCTCAGATCCACGGTATCGTCCGGGGTGGCGAACCCGGGAGACGCGGTGGCCGTGGCCGAGCCTGTCGCGATGATGTCATCCATGTCGGCCTCGGTCTCATCGGTGTCGCCGAGGTGCGAGAAGGGCAGCGCGCCACGACGAAGAGGGGGTGTCGGTGTCAAAACCGGCGGATCTCGGGTAGGGGGTCCCTAACTGTGCGTCTAGGTCGGATGGTAACAGGAGGCAGGGGGCACAATGTTTTACCCAGGTTTGGGCCCTCTTGATGGAGGTAAAACCCTACGTCCTGCTTGATTTATTCTTGATGATATGAGTAGTACAAGAGTTGATCTACCACGAGATCGGAGAGGCTAAACCCTAAAAGCTAGCCTATGGTATGATTGTATGTATATGATCTATCGACTAGCCTGGCCTCGGTTTATATAATGCACCAGAGGCCTAGGATAACAAGAGTCCTAGCCGAATACGCCGGTGGGGAGGAGTCCTTGTCTTGATCGCCAAGTCTTGTGGAATCTTCCTTGTATGCGGCAGCTGTCCGAACTGGCCCATGAGTATATGGCCATGGGGGTCCTCGGCCCAATCTAACAGATCGGGAGATGATGTGGTGAGTACCCCCTAGTCCAGGACACCGTTAGTAGCCCCCTGAACCGGTCTTCAAGTTAGGGACGCTCCTCGATTCTTCCGAACCGTTCTTCATCTTCGGTCGTTGGTCTTGAAAACTGGTTCAACAAATCTTCTCATCTTCGATCTTGAGGATCGCCGAAATGCATTCGACGAGTTTACACGTCGGGTATCCGAGGGCCCCTTTAAGTTTCCGGCCTTTATCAATGCCTTGTTATTTTTATGCCACACCTCGGGTTTGAAGTTGTTCCCGGGCGGCAGCGTCCTCTTGCGTCCGAGCTCCAACGCCGAACTACATT